AAGTCAAGTATAATGATTATCGTACTATAATGCTAATGTTGAAACAAGCAATAAATAACTCAACTTTATACGATAACTTGTTTGACTTCAACAGTAGGCTGTTTCAGCGGCGCATACGGCATAAACGTATTCGGCGTAAGAAACTATTGACCTAGACTTATGACTTTTTTTCATTATGCTTTATATAATGGTCTCGTATAATGTTAAATCTCTATTACGACATGATACCGATAAGATTACCGCGGTATGCTATCCATCGATACGTTATATCACATTCTTCTCTCTCTCTCTCTCTCTCTCCCCTCCCTTCTCTCTTGTCTCTCTCTCCGTCACCGTCTCTAGCGAATTAAGCAATTACGATGGCAAGCACCTTCCGAAGAAAGGAAGGGCATCGAGGGGAATTGCTGTCACGCGCAATTGTGATCTTAATTGTATCCGGAAAATCGACACGTGACTAAGGTGAAGACGACGATCGTCGAATACCGCACGGATGTTGAAGCGACAAACTTCGGCACGATCCTTCTCTCACGTACGGGAGGATGACAACGACGGCGCGACGGCGCCGCGGCGGGTGGAGATAAACCGTGACGTCATCCCCGAGTGTCATTAGAATAATTACCATCCGACGTCTACCTGTCTCTCCCCGTCTTGTCTACACTGTACGCGCTAAGTTGCAGAGCGGAGTTTTCGCAAAATTTTCCACACACGCATTACATGCAAGCATATGTATATCCAAAACAGACCTTGTATCTTCGTGCTCTTTGCTACAGATAATCGCAAGAAAAGTTGTCAACAAAGTTGAAATATCTGTATCTCATATATTTACGCTGTTTCTGCATGCATGCGATATATCTATCCAGCGTATCCGGCACAACAAACTGTTTAATTGAACGAACTTTAATCAGATCCAAAAGTAGCGAATATAATATTTTGCTTCGATAAATTCATGCTATTTTCTTACGCACGTCGAATGAAAATGTTTCCGGATTTTTTACTCTATTGAAGTATCCTATTGTGTGTGATCACGTTCCGCATTGAAAAGTTTCTCGTAAATTAAATTTCGAATATAAATGGATATAAATAGATAGCAGATTTTCTCTTTTGCAAAATCATTTTATTTCATCAGAAACCTCATTTTTGTGGTTGAATCGCGAATTTTAACAGTAAGATATTGAAATATGAAAAAAATACAATTTTAAATACATCAAAGAATATATTCGCAAAATGTCCGTTAAATACTAACTAAATAT